TAAAATCCTTAACAAAATATTAGCAAATCACATCCAGCTAAATATATTAAAAAGGTCATACAACATGACCAAGTGGGATTTATTCCAGGGATGCAAGGCTGGTACAATATTCACAAATCAATAAATGTGATATATCACGTAAACAAACTGAAAGACAAAAATCACATGATCATATCAATAGATGTAGAAAAAGTATTCAACAAAATCCAACACCACTCTCATTCAACATAGTACTGGAAGTCCTAGCCACAGTGATCAGACAAAAAGAAATAAAAGGTACATTGTACCTAAAAAACAAACAAACCCTAAATATTCCACCAAAAAACTACTAGATTTAATAAATGAATTTGGCAATGTATCAGAATACAAAATCAATACCCCAAAATCCTTGGCTTTTTTATACACCAATAATGAATTCTCAGAAAGAGAAACTAAACAAACAATCCCATTTACCATTGCAACAAAAACATTAGGACACTTAGGAATAAACTTAACCAAGGAGGCAAAAGACCTGTACTTGAAAAACTACAGGACATTGAAAAAAGAGAGAGGAAGATAGAAACAAGTGGAAGAATATAACATGTTCATGGGTTGGTAGAATCAACATCATTAAAATGTCCATACCACCCAAGGCAACCTGCAGATTAAATGTAATCCCTATTAAAATACCAACAGCAGCTCTAACCAGTTTGGCTCGGTGAATAGAGGGTCAGTCTGCGAACTGAAAGGTCCCAGGTTCAATTCCTGTCAAGGGCATGTACCTTGGTTGAGGGCACATCCCCAGTAGGGGGTGTGCAGGAGGCAGCTCATCAATGTTTCTCTCTCATTGATGTTTCTAACTCTCTATCCTTCTCCCTTCCTCTCTGTAAAAAATCAATAAAATATATTTTAAAAAATACCAACAGCATATTTCATAGAGTAGAAAAAATACTCCAAAATTTATATGGAATCAAAAAAGTCCACAAATCACTGCAGCAATCTTGAGAAAGAAGAACAAAGTTGGAGGAATCACAATACCAGATTTCAAGTTATACTACAAAGCCACCATAATCAAAACAGCGTGGTACAGAATTGAGACCCCAGAAATCGACCCAAGCCATTACACTCAATTAATATTTGACAAAGGAGGCAAGAACATACAATGGAGTAAAGACAGTCTCTTCAATAAATGGTGTTGGGAAATTGGACAGATACATGCAAAAAAAAATGAAACTAGACCACCAACTTACACCATACACAACAATTAACCCAAAATGGATAAAAGATTTAAATGTAAGCCATGAACCATAAAAATCCTAGAAGAAACCACAGGCAGCAAAATCTCGGACATCTCTCATAGCAATATGTTTATGGATACATATCCTAAGGCAAAGGAAACTAAGGAGAAAATAAACAAATGGGCCCACATCAAAATAAAAGGCTTCTGCACAGCAAAAGAACCATAAGCAAAATGAAATGGAAGCGCACTGTATGGGAGAACATATTTAGCATTGATACTTCTGATAAAGGGTTAATATCCAAAATACATAAGGAAATCATGCAACATAACCAAAGGAAGACAAATAATCCAATTAAAATATGGGCAAAGGACCTAAATAGACACTTCTCTAAAGAGGACATACAGATGGCCAAGAGACATATGAAAAAACTAAGGGCCCAGTGCACGAATTCGTGCACGTTGAAAGGACCTGTGGGCTAGAAGGCTGCAGTGGGCACAGGGAAAGGTCTCGGCCCATCCTCCGTACCTCCACCCAGTCCCTCCCAGCACAGCCCCTGGTCCCCTGTCTGCTGGCAGCCCTGCTCCTGCCGCTGCCGCTGCTCCCACATGCTGACTGTACTGGACCTGCTCGCACCCACTGACAGCGTGGAGCCTTTGGGGCTGGTGTCAACAGCGGGTGCAAGCGTGGCTGTCACTGTCAATGGGTGCAAGTGGGGCCTACTGCTCTGATCAACCCTTGGGAGCAGGGAGAGGTGGAGAAGCCCTGAGGGGCGATCGGGGCCAGCAGTGGGTATGAGTGGTGGCTCTGGCGCCAGCAGCAGGTGCGAGCAGGGCCAGCACCAGCAGCAGGTGCACAGGAGCAAAGAATTTTCAGTAACCAGCAGAGGCTCACCCCAATGACAGCAATCAGCACCCCACCTTGGTCTGGCACCCCCGCTCACCTGCTCCGCCATCCCTCAGTGGCCAACACCCGCCATGTTCTGCACTGTACCACCTGCTGTCGACGCCTGCCATGTTCCGCACATGCCCCCTGGTGGTCAGTGCATGTCATAGTGGCCAGTTGTTGGGTTGTTCCACAGTTTGGTCTATTTGCATATTAGGGTTTTATATAGAAAGATACTCAAAGTCACTAATCATCCGAGAGATGCAAATCAAAATGAGAATGAGGTATCATCTCACGCCTGTCAGAATGGCTACCATCAACAAATCAACAAATGACAAGTGCTGGTGAGGATACGGAGAAAAGGGAACCCTAGTACACTGCTGGTGGGAATGCAGACTGGTGCAGACATTATGGAAAACAGTATGGAGTTTCCTCAAGAAAGTAAATATGGATCTGCCATTTGACCCAGTGATCCCATGTCTAGGAATATATCCTAAGAAACCCAAAGCACCAATCAAAAAGAATGTATGCACCCCTATATTCATAGCAGCACAATTTACAATAGCTAAGATCTGGAAACAGCCCAAGTGCCAATCAGTAGAGAGTGGGAAAAAAAGCTGTGGTAGCCCTGACCAGTTTGACTCAGTGGATAAAGCGTCGGCCTGTGGACTGAAGGGTCCCAGGTTTGATTCCAGTCAAGAGCATGTATCTTGGTTGCAGGCTCATCCCCAGTAGGGGGTGTGCAGGAGGCAGCTGATCGATGTGTCTCTCTCATCGATGTTTCTAACTCTCTATCCCTCTCCCTTCCTTTCTGTGAAAAATCAATAAAATATATATTTTTAAAAAGCTGTGGTACATTTACACCATGGAATACTATGCAGCAGTAAAAAAGAAGAATCTCTTACCCTTTGAGACAGCATGGAGGGACCTGGAGAGTATCATATTAAGTGAAATAAGTCAGTCAGAAAAAGACAAGTATCACATGATCTCATTCATATGTGGAATCTAAGTAACAAAATAAACTGATGAACGGAGTGGATCCAGGGACATGGAAGCATGGAAGAGAGTGGGGAAATCAGAGGGAAGGCGGGGGAGGGTGGGTGGGTGGGAGGTAATCAACCAAGGACTTTGTGTGCATATATGCATCGCCCATGGACACAGACAATAGGGTGCCAAAGGCTGAGGGGGGGGGGGACAGGCTGGAGGGGGTCAGTGGGGGAAAAGGGGGACATGGGTAATACTTTCAACAATAAAGTATTATTTTAAAAAATAAAAATAAATAGTCCTTTCCGACCCCTTCACCTGCCTCTGCCCCCACCAGCCTCCTTCGCTGAGCAAACGTCTGTCTTCCCTGCAGACGGGTCAGCCCAGGAGGACAGTGAGTCTGCCGGTTTGTTCCCTCCTGGATCCCCGGGCATGGCGGAGGCAGTCAGCAGACATTTGCAGAGTGAATGAGCCTTCAGGGTCTGGCTTATAGATACATTCTTGAATGAGTTTATTCCTAATCAATCATTTTAACGAATCATCTCCGAAGCCTCCTGAGGGAGAATCAGACGCTGCCTTCCCACTTGGTGGATCCTCCTCTCTTCCCAGCCAGCCACTCACTATTCACAGTCCTCCCAGGACATCTTCCCTCCTGTGTAGGGATGGCGACTTCAGCGAAAAGGCCGGAAAAAAGCCCTGCACACTGTCCACCCTGTGGCAATCCGGCCCAGCCCGAGACTTGCCCAGCCCTGAGGCTGGTGTGTTCTCCACTCACTATTAACCCATCCGGCTCCATTCCAGCCTCTGCCTACCCCATCACTGTTTGGGCTGAGTGGACAGTTGGGACCACCCCAGGCAGCCTTTCCAAGAGCCAAGAAGAGCATCAGGTACCTTGGGTTTGGAGAACATTGTTACGAGAGTAAAACACATCCCCAAACACCCTGTAAAGTCACAGATCTGTGAGTAAGGGGGGAGGTGGGAGAAAGAGGAGGAGGGAGACACCCCAGGAAGAACCACGGATACCCCATTGGAAGATGAAAACCTCCACCTCCCGGCAGAGCGGCCATGGAGATGGTGGGAGATGCTGCCTCTGCTCTCAGTCCTACAGACGCTGGACACCTGCAGGTCTCAGGGCGGCTCAGGCAGAACCATGTTCCTCAAACCCCTGCCATGGATTCACTTACTGTTGAATCTTAGACCCATTTTCCGGTTCCAGGCCTATGACAACGTGGTAGGTAGAAGCCTTGAGGGTCCACGTGTCAGTCCACTAACCCCAGTTAGCACCCCAACGACGGGGGGTCGTTGTGGATGGGCATGAAAGAGAGTGTGCGGTGCAGGGTCTGGAGGAGATTGACCTGTGACTTCCGTTTGGGGATTGCTATAGAGTGGCTGCCGACAGGCATGCGCACACATGTTCTCCAGAGGCCGTGCAGGAATAGTCATAGTCGTGGTGGCCACTCAGCTCCAATTCCGGCAGCAGCGGAAGGGAAGCGAATGGAAGTGAACACCTGCCGGCTACGCACAGCGATGCGGACAAACCTCCAGCATGATTTGGGCCCAGGCAGCCGGGCACGAAGTTCGCAAAGTGGCAAAGCCAAGCTCTGCCCTCGCCAAGGGAGTGGGCTGGAATGTCCCGCTCCCTAATCCAGGCGTGGCTGCAGGGGTTGCTCCCCGAGAGAGAAGTGGTTAAGCCTGGCACACAGGCGTGGTGCGCCTGCCGGTGTGTGTACTTGCACTGCAGGCCTACATCTTAAAGGAGGCGGGGTTAAGGTCTTGATGTTTCCTCAGGGCTTTCCGCAGAGAAGGAGGGGGATTGCTGCCTCCAGTCCAGGCAGGTGGGCAGGAGGTGAGCGAAGAGCACAGAGGCTGGCGGAGGCGGGGCCATGGCCCCACCTCCGCGAGATGTGGCTCCGCCTCCGCGTCTCGCGTTGCTCGGCAACCGGTCTCCTGGACGACGAAAGACGCTGAGCACCGGCAGCAGCATACAGGACAACCTAGACCTCAGGGGCCATGGCGCAGAAACCAATGAGCATCGCAGAGGCCGAGCGCATGAACCTCGTGGCCCAGGACCAGATCTGGTAACGTCGGGGATCCGGTTACCGGTGGGCTGGGCCGTTCTCACCTGGAGTGTGCACATCTGGCGGCCTCAGTTTCCCAGTTTCTGCCATGTCCTGGAAGTGGTCAGGGGCCTTGAGGAAAGAGGGCAGTAATAGGGACACGTAGTCGAACAAAGGGCCTTTCATTCTCCCCCTTCTCTTAGGCTCGCCTGAAAGATTGCGCATTGGGCTCTACAACCATGCAAAGCCTTGGTTCTTCTTTTTAAGATGTGTCCTTATTTTTAGATGTGTTCTTATTTTTAAGATTTACCAATTTTTTAAGAGGGGAACAAAACAAAAATCTCATATTTTTTCTTTTTGAATGAGAAATACATATACACTTTATATTCTCGCTTGCTTTTCCTGGTATTTTAAGTAATAAGAGATTTTAATTTAAAGAATAGATCCATTTTCTATCAGATTTATATTCAGCAGACATGTGTAATGGTTGTTTTATTTGGCATTCTCTCTGACTGCTAAACATTATCCCATCTCTTTGAAGTTTTAACCAATATGGGAAGTTACCAGTGTAGATGCCAGTAAGTAAATTTTAGTAACAACAAACCATAAATGTTTGCCTCTTAAACTTCAGTTATCCTGTTTATCATCGATGTGACTTTTACCATTTTTACCCTATAATAGTCATTACTATTTTTCTTTAAACTGACTTTGTTTCATTTAATCCATTTATTTTTATAAAAAAAAAAAAAAAAAAACCTTTGCATCACTCTTGAAAATGGAAAGCCAACATTATTTAGCATAAAATACACAACTACTGATTGTTTAAATCTTTGTCTTGATGCAAGCACCCCACTAGGTGATACTACCATAGCAGGCTCTGTTCCCACTACCTAGAATGCCCCTTCCTCCCTTCTCAACCAGATAAACTCCTACTTACCCTTCAAGACACCAAATCAGATGGCCCTTCCTATGGCAGCAGAGCCAGTGAATCACTTACACTGTCTATCCAATGTCCAAAGTGGCCATTGAGCACTTGCAACGGAACGGTTCCAAATGGGGATGAGCTGTAAAGTAAAATACCAGACTTTGAAGATTTCACACCAAAGCAGAAGTGATGTTAAAGTTCAGTTACCTGTTCACTTTGACTGGTATTAATGTGGATACTAGAAAATTTAAAATCCTATGTATGGCTCCTATTTTTGGCCCATGTGACAGCTCTGCTGCTGGTGCTCAGGGACCAAGACAACAAACTTGGCCAGGGCCTCTGAAACGGTTAGGACAGGGGGGGCAGGAGGGTAGGTATTGATTCCAAAATAGGAAAGAAAATTAAAAAGCAAAATGAATACATGTTTGCACACCCACTCTTTGATATGAACTCAACTCAGCTTCTTTTTTAAAATTTATCTTTGTTGTTGAAAGTAATTCAGATGTACCCTTTTTTCCCACATCAACCCGTTCAGCCAGCCCTCCCCCCACCCGGGCCTTTACCACATCATTGTCTATGCCCACGGGTTATGCATATAAATTCTTTGGTTAAACTCTTCCCACTCACTCACCCACCCCCACCTTCCCTCTGAGATTCATCACAGTGTTCCATGTTTCTCTGTTTCTGGATCTATTTTGTTCATCAGTTTATTTTGTTCTTTACATTCCACATATGAGTGAGATCATGTGATACTTGTCTTCCCCTGACTGGCTTATTTTGCTTAACATAATACTCTCCAGGTTCGTCCATGCTGTCTCAAAGGGTAAGAGGGCCTTCTTTCTTTCCTTTTTTTTCTTTTTTTTTAAATATATTTTATTGATTTTTTACAGAGAGGAAGGGAGAGGGATAGAGAGTTGGAAACATCAATGAGAGAGAAACATCAATCAGCTGCCTCCTGCACACTCCCCACTGGGGATGTGCCCGAAACCAAGGTACATGCCCTTGACTGGAATCGAACCCGGGACCCTTCAGTCCGCAGGCTGACGCTCTATCCACTGAGCCAAACCATTAGGGCAAGGGCCTTCTTTCTTTACTGCTGCATAGTATTCCATGGTGTAAATGTACCACAGCTTTTTTATCCACTCATCTCCTGATGGGCACTTGGGCTGTTTTCAGATCTTAGCTAGTGTAAATTGCACTGTCTGAACCCATGGGCACAGACAATGAGGTGGTAAAGGCCTGGGTGGGGGGAGGGGTTGGCTTGAAGGGGTTGATTGGGGGGGGGGGGTACATCTCTCTTACTTTCAACAACAAAGATAAATTTTTAAAAAAAGAAGCTGAGTTGAGTTCATATCAAAGAGTGGGTGTGCAAACATGTATTTATTTTGCTTTTTAATTTTCTGATTGGTGCTTTGGGTTTCTTAGAATATATTCCTAGAAGTGGGATCACTGGCAGATCCATATTTAATTTTTTGAGGGAACTCCATACTGTTTTCCATAATGGCTGCACCATCTGCATTCCCAGCAGCAGTGTGCTAGGGTTCCCTTTTCTCCACATCCTCGCCAGCACTTGTCATTTGTTGATTTATTAATGATGGCCATCCTGACAGGTGTGAGGCAATACCTCGTTGCTGTTTTAATTTGCATCTCTCTAATGATCTGTGACTTTGAGCATTTTTTCATATGTCTCTGGGCCATCTGTATGTCCACTTTGGAGAAGTGTCTATTTAGGTCCTTTGTCAATTTTTTAATTGGATTGTTTTTCTTCCTTTTGTTATGCTGTATGATTTCCTTATGTATTTTGGAGATTAACCCTTTATCAGATGTATCATTGGCAAATATGTTCTCCCATACAGTGGGCTCTCTTTTCATTTTGCTTGTGATTTCTTTTACTGTGCAGAAGCTTTTTATTTTAATACTAGAGGCCCGGTGCACAAAATTCGTGCAAGGAGGGGGGGGCGTCCCTTAGCCTGCCTGCACCCTCTCCAATCCGGGACACCTTGGGGGATGCCCAACTAATGGCTTAGGCCCAATCCCACAGCCTAAATCGGCAGTCAGATATCCCTCTCACAATCTGGGACCCCTGGCTCCTAATCACTCAACTGCCTGCCTGCCTGATGCCCCTAACTGCTCCCCTGCCTGCCTGATTACCCCTAACCTCTCTGCCTGCCTGCCTGATTGCCCCTAACTGCCTTCCTCTGCTGGCCTGATTGCCCCTAACCATCTCTCCCTCAGCCCCCGCCACCGTGGCTTTGTCCGGAAGGACGTCTGGATGGATGTCCTGAAGACATCTAGTCTAATTAGCATATCACCCTTTTATTAGTATATATAGTCCAATTTGTTTATTTTCTCCTTAGTTTCCTTTGCCCTAGGAGATGTATCCATAAACATATTGCTATGAGAGATAGCTGAGATTTTGCTGCCTGTGGTTTCTTGGAGGATTTTTATGGTTCACAACTTACATTTAAATCTTTTATTCATTTTGAGTTAATTGTTGTGTATGGTGTACGTTTGTGGTCTAATTTAATTTTTTTTTTTTTTGCATATATCTGTCCAATTTTCTCAACACCATTTATTGAAGAGACTGTCTTTACTCCATTGTATGCTCTTGCCTCCTTTGTCCAATATTAATTGAGGGTAATGGCTTGGGTCAATTTCTGGGGTCTCTGTTCTGTTCCATTGATCTATATGCCTGTTATTGTGCCAGCACCAGGCTGTTTTGATTACAGTGGCTTTGTAGTATACCTTGAAATCTGGCATTGTGATTCCTGCAACTTTGTTCTTCTTTCTCAACATTGCTGTGGCTACTAGTATTCAGGGTATTTTTTTGTTCCATCTAAATTTTTGGAGTATTTGTTCTAGATCTGTGAAACATGCCATTGGTATTTTTTTTTCAATTAAATCTTTATTGTTGCTGAAACCGGTTTGGCTCAGTGGATAGAGCGTCGGCCTGCGGACTGAAGGGTCCCAGGTTCGATTCCGGTCAGGGGCATGTACCTGGGTTGCGGGCATATCCCCGGTGGGAGATGTGCAGGAGGCAGCTGATCGATGTTTCTCTCTCATCGATGTTTCTAACTCTATCTCTCTCCCTTCCTCTCTGTAAAAAATCAATAAAATATATTTTAAAAAAAAATCTTTATTGTTCAGATTATTACATTAGTTACTCTTTTTTCCCCACCATAATTCCCCTCCACCCAGTTCCCACCCCACCCTCCACCCTCACTCCCCTCCCACTGTCCTCATCCATAGGTGTACGATTATTGTAAAATCTCTTCCCTCACCCCCACACCCCTTCCCCCCCCAAGAATAGTCAGTCAATTCCCTTTCTATGTCCCTGATTCTATTACAATCACCAGTTCATACTGTTCATCAGATTATTTATTCACTTGATTTTTAGATTCATTTGTTGATAGATGTGTATTTGTTGTTCATAATTTGTAATCCTTGTTCATCCTTCTGTTGTTCTGGTACCCCTATTATTCGTATGTTGTTTCGTTTCATGTTGTCCCAAAGCTCCCTTAGGCTCTCCTCCTGTCTTTTAATTTTTTTCTCCAACTGCAGTACATTTTGGGTGTGTTTTGCTTCCTTGTCTTCTAATTCACTAATTCGGTCCTCCGCTTCTCCTAGTCTACTGTTGATACTTTCAATGGAGTTTTTCATTGCAGCTATATCACTCTTCATTTCTTCTTGGGTCTTACTTAAGTTGTTGATTTTTTCATCTGTTTCTTCTAGCTTCTTCCATATGTTATCGATTTTTTCATCTGTTTCTTCTTGCTTCTTGCAGAGGTTGTCGATTTTTTCCTCCATCCGGTTTATGCACTCTAGGACCCTTATTCTGAATTCTTTTTCTGTCATATTGCATGCCTCTGTATTACTTAGCTGCTTTTCTGGAGAGTCCTCCTTCTCTTTCCTTTGGGGGTTTCTTTGTCTACCCATGTTTGATCTCACTGACATATCTAGACGTTGAGTCGTTCAGTGGTTGCTCCCTGGGTGGCAGTGACTCCTTGGTCTGTGGTTGCTCTTCGGGCGGTTGCGGTAGCAGCTGCTCTTCAGATGGCAGCAGCTCCTCTGGTGGGTGCTGTTCACAGCTGTGGTG